ATTTAATCGTTGCTGTTTGAAACATAAAAAGGGAAATAACTGGCGGGACTTGCAGGAGTTGGGACGAGGTGCGATTATAAATAAAACAAGCTGCTTGTTAAAGCTGGGATTCATCAGCTCCCCCGCCGGTCAATTGCATAATGGTTGTGTAAATGGAAATCCCTCCCCGTAAGATGATTAGAGGTTAATGACCGATGGAACTGGAGGTGGCCAGCTCTGTTTTTAGCCATCAGTCGTCAACCTTCTGAAGGAAGGGGTGTCGATTGTCATTTTTGGGAGCAGAGGAAAAGTCACTTTGGGGTGGCTTGTGAATGGTTCTGATGGGACTAATTTACCCGAGATCGATTTTCCAGCAGAACTCCCAGGAAAATGTTACTGAGAGGGGGGGAAATTAATTGCAGGCAGAGGTGGAAAGGGGAACGTTATCCCAAATCTTTCCTTGCAAATCGATCCCCGATTCAATCGACAATTTACGAGCGATTCCAAAATCCATTGTTTGGGGAATTGGCCGCTTTCAGTTTCTCTCAGTGGCCCCTCCTGATTTTATCCTGACCCAGGAAGACCCCCCTGCCCTTCCTGGTGGTGTCAGCACCCCGAGTGTCACATTTCCGGAAGGAATAAATGCAATTTTCCCACCCTGCTGATGGAAACCGTTCGTTCTTACAATCGACTGTAAACTGCAGGCTGAGAATTCCTTAATTTACAGGGCTGGAGGGCGATTTATTGCTCTTTTTGGGCCTTATTTTTTGGGCAAACCCTGGGGGAACAGATGAGTGTCGATGAGTGTCGATAAGTGTCGATGAGTGTCGATAAGTGTCGATAAGTGTCGATGAGTGTCGATGAGTGTCGATAAGTGTCGATAAGTGTCGATGAGTGTCGATGAGTGTCGATGCGGTTTGCAGGATGGAAAGAGACGCGGCCTTCGCCCAGAAGAAAGCAGAGCGGGCCTGCCTGAGGGTTCACCTGCGAGAGAAGTACCGGCTGCCCAAGGTGAGGCGCTTCCCCACCCGCCGACAATTTACCGACCCATCGACGCGGCGAAAAAAATCAATTTACGTCGATTTACCCAAAAAAAACCCCACGTGGGGCTCGACCCAAGCGGGGGGTTTAGACTCTCTGTCCCCTCCCGGCGCCTCAGGTGACAGCTGAAACGGGGTAAATTGCATTCCCACCCGCCCTCCACTCGAGGGGGGGTGGAGGTTTAATTACAGGAAGATTAATTACGCCCCCAAAATAAATAAATAAATAAATAAATAAATAATTAAGCTCGAGATTTGCAAGCGGTTGATTGGATTGCCGGGGCCTTAAAGCTCTAAACAGCGGCATTTGAATTAGCGGGGCCCCGGGGGTAAATTATCGACGGGTCGTTTCGGAGGCGGGACGTGGGTTTTCCATCGTCCCCGTCGATGATTTCCACGTCCGGGAGGGGCCTGCTGGGAGGTTTTTCAGTGCTCAGCTCTCACCTGAACATCAGCAGGAGTTTCAGGGCACCTGGAGAGGGTTTATTTCGCAGCTTGAGGTGGCTCCAAAGTTGACTATTTACAGGCATCAATCAGCAGCGCCCACTGTAAATGAAAGCCCGAAATTCACGGTTAACTCAGGAATAAGCAGGGTAAAAACCTGAAGCTCTCTGGGGGCAGATTGAGAGGAGAAAGTAGCCCCTTAATGAACCTAATCCTATTAGGGGAGTTGTCAACTCCCATTCGTC